CTACACCCTTTTTTATTGTTAAAGTCTAATCCAGCAAAACACTTCAACAAGAAAACATTTTTCTTAGCATGACTTAAAGGACTCAGAGACCATAACAGATGTTGAAAATTAAACACACTTTGCAGCGCAGAGACAGCACTTGAGTCTGCAATCAGAGGTCGGTGCGCCCATCCCAGCAGAGGAAGCCCGAGACTCCGCCGTTTGCTCTGAGGAACGTTACCTTACCTGAAGACAACCCGCACCGCGCAGCCCAGAACACCGCGTCCCACCGCAGCGCCGTCAGCGCGGCGCTCCCCGGCTCCCAGCGGCCGCCGTGCCCTGCAGGGGTGGCTGGCAGCCGTTCTCCGCAGGGCGCTGAGGGCCGGGCCGGGGGCGGCGGTGTGCGGGACGGCTGTGGGCGCCAGGAGGGCGGGAGCGGCCCAGAGCCCGCATCGGGCGTCACGGCGGGGCACCGCTCTGCTGACGAGCAAAATGGGTACAGCAGAAAAAGTTACCTGGAAGTTTGTGGGGTTTTGTGCTTTCGTGGTTGTTTAAGTACATTGGAGTTACCAAACAGGAACCAAATGCGAAACTGATGCAAACGAAAAAAAGAAACGTAAAGGGAAGCGCACCGGCGCTTAAAGCTCCTCCCGCCCCGGCAGCCCCCGGTGCCGCTCCCGCTGCGGGCCAGGCGGGCCCCGGGGCAGCCCTCCGAGGCGCGCGTTTTCTAAAGGAGCTTCGGCGGAACGGCCGAGCGTATCTGGAGGCTACGGACCGCGCAGCCGCCTCTCCTCGCTCGGGGAAGCCGCGCCTCCCGGCACCTCCGCGGAAGCAAAGGGCACGGCCGAGGGGCGGCTCCGAGGCGCTCGGCTCCGCTCCGCGCAGACGGCGGTCGCCACCCGAGCCCGTACCTGCGGCGGCGGCTGGCAGCCGGCGCTGAGCTGCTGGTGGCCGTGCGAGCGCTCCAGCGGCGAGGAGGCGCGGGACGAGCAGGACGCGCCGACCCGCCGGCAGCCGGGACCGTAGGTCCGCACCCGGTCGAACGCCGGGCCGCCCTCCTGGCGCTGCGGAGCCGGCGGCTCGAAGCAGGGCGGCGGGAGCGGCGGCTCGGGGCGGGCGGGCGGCTCGAGGCACGGCGGCGGCTCCGGGCACGGCGGCGGCTCGCGGCAGGGCCGGCGGGCGGCGGGCAGCGTGCTGTAGTGCTGCTGGCGCCGGTAGTAGTGCTGGTGCTGCTGGTGCTGCTGCTGGAGGTGAGGGGGCAGCGCGATGGGCTGCAGCTGCTGCTGGCCCCCCAGCATCCCGGCCGCGCGGGCCGCGCTCCGGGAGCGGCGGCTCGAGGCTCAGCGGGGCGGCGAATGCGGGCGGGCGGCGGGGCAGGGCAGCGATTAGTACCTGCGGGAGGGCCGCGCCTAGGGCGGGCCGCACCTGCACCCGCGGCTGCCTCCCCCTCGCGGGGCGGGCGATGCGCCGCGGCGGCCTCGGGGAGCGCGGGGCTGCAGGCACAGCGCCGTGCCGGAGCCTCCCTCGTAGAGAAACGTGGAGTAAAGTAAAGGAGGGGGCTGCTTATTTTCACCCGTGTTATTAACCTTACGAAGCTCGTCCGTAAGAGACAAGGTTGGAAACTTACCCAAACTGTCGCTCTGTAGAGAAAAGTATGAACGCGGGTTAGTTTCTCAACGCAGCACTTTTTAGTTTGGGCTCCTGTATTGCATTACCCGAGTCAGGCAAGCCCTATCCAAGAATGTAACTTTGTTCTGCGTGGTAACGTTGTAATAACATAATTATATATTATTGTGTAATAAATACAATCCTTAATAATAAATCTTAGGTTCTTAATTTTGTCAGTTTCCCCTGCGTGCCTCCTGCGCTTTCAGGTCACTCAGCACAGCCACATAATGGCAGAAGACCCTTGACAACAGAGCATTACTCTGTGTGGCATGGCAGTGACATCTGGAAAAATACTCATCAAAAAATAAAGTTTCCCTTAATCCTCCATTGTTAAACCCAAGCAGACATCCATTTTATCTAGGAGAGCATTTAAAACTAAAGACACTTGTAGTAAGTTCTGTCCTGCTGGTTTCAAAGGTGCTGTATGCCAGAAGAAATGACTTACCCAGACAGAAGAGAAATACGCATTTTCTCTTCAAACCTCATTCTCGGTTCACTTTTTTCAGCTTAAAAAAACCATTGATGGCTTCTGACATAACAATTAAAAAAAAATCTCACAGAAAGTAATAGCATATGGTTACAACAGCCTGGTCTCTGTTTCTACACAAACCATTAGAAATTGCTTTATGCTTCAGTAGGAAACCACAGAAACTACAGTAATACTCCTCCAGGAAAAACAAGAGCTGTGTAATGTATCACGTAGAAAACAATTAGTTACCCAGCTCAGGAAACATTACCAGCCTGCAGTATACTTCCCTGTTTAATAAAGAGTGGCTTGGAAATTTCTTACAAGGGTCAGCAGAAAGAAAGGCCCAAGTCATCCTATTGTAATGGAAATAAAAAATAACTTCCGGAAGAGTTTGTAGATGTGGCAAGGATTATTGCAGTCATAAATCATAACAGTAAGTAATACATGCAGGGTAATCTGTACCAGTTAATGAGAGCCTCAAAGTGCATGGATTTTAATCTGACAAAAGTTTTGTATACATCAAAAATGATGTTCCATTCTATATCACAGTTGTCTGTTAAAGGAATTCCGTTCCCACTCTGATAACTGTGGTGAGAAGGAATAAAACTGTGTTTTGATAAAATAGGAGAGAGAAATACTTGTCTGGGAAGAGGCCTGCAGAACACATCATATCTCGTTGTCTACACTTAAATTATTATTTTTTTCTTTGTAGAGCAACAGATATCTAAACAACATGGGGTCAGGAAACTGAAAGGCTTGAGAAGAGAGGGTTAAGAAGCCAGCAAAATGGCAGGGAGCTGCAAACAGCCATAACTTGATGAGGCCAGAGATAAAAATCTGCTTTCAAGCGTAAGGGAAAGCTTGAGAGACTGAAGAGGAAGTTACAAGCAGTAGTAAGTAGAGGCTTTGGTTTTCTGATCCTTCCTTTGAAGGAAGCACTGGAGGCTTGGTGGAAGGTGCCTGTCTGCAGACACTGATCCAGATAGCTGATGTAACACTTCTTTCTTACAACTTAACACTCACAACTTATTTTCAACTTTGAGTATTTCATTAGCACAGTATAGAACCATAGGTTTTCCAAGGTTGGAAAAGACATTCAATATCTTCTAGACCAACTGTCCACCTACCACCAATATTTCCCCACTAAACCATGTTCCTTAGTACAAACCTACACGTCTCTTGAACACTTCCAGGGACAGTGACTCAAGCACCTCCCTGGGCAGCCCATTGCAGTGTCTGAACACGCTTTCCAAGAAGAAATCCTTCCTAACATCCAACTGAACTTCCCCAGCACAACTTGAGGCCATTCCCTCTAGGACTGCTGCTAATTACATGGGAAGAGAGGCTGGCTCCCACCTCATCACAACCTCCCTTCAGAGAGCTATAAAGACGTATAATGTCTCTCCTGAACCTCCTCCAGACTAAACAAACACCCTTTCCTCAGCTGCTCCTCACAAGACCTGTGCTCCAGATCCCTCACCAGGTTCACTGCCCTTCTCTGGATATGCTCTTGTAGTGACAGATCTCAAACTCGTGTTTTCTCATTAGTCCAATCTCACATATAAGGACTTGTCTGATACCCACCTTGAATACAGGTAAACTCCTTGCACCCACCAAGTCCTCTGGAAAGAATGTTCAGCAGATCTTCCCCCTTGCATTAAGAACCTCCTTCTGAATTTGACTCCTATTTCCACAGGCTCTGGTTCTTCCATATAACTTAATAGCTTTGAACTTGAGCCTTCTCTTCCAGTCTAGAAAAAAAAAAAAAAAAAAAAAAAAAAAAAAAGCAACAAAAACCTTCAATCCTCTTCATACAGATGTCATTCCATATCTTGGATGATCTGTGCTCCTCTCTCTTCCGTAGTATTCCAAAAGTGGTAAAATCATGGATTTAAACAATGGTGCAGCGATGTTTGTTCTTTTGTTCTGCTTTCTTAATAGCTTCTAATGTTTCACTTGCTTTTTTTGACTGCTGCTAAGCAGTTATCTGCCACAAAGTCTTGCACTAGAGCAGTAATAAGCAGTTCTTTGGGGTCCATCACTTTACATGTTCCATGTCAGCATTTCTGTAATCCACAACAACTGTATCCACTGTACTCTATGTAGAAACGTTGTATTTTAACAAGGGACCTTGCAGCACATAGATCGCAAGACAGGATCTGGAATGGTTCAAACATTATTTCAGAATTTTACACCTCTTCATACATTATAGTGCTTCAGTGGTAAGAAAGTTCAGTAAGAAGGTTAAACAGAGCTTAGGCTATGTTTTAAAGGCTGTCACAGTGCTGGCAGTAACTAATGATCAGACTGTAAAATGAGCTGTTGCAAGACTGAGGGAAAACTCATTAATTTTTCTTGTAAAAAAATTACGTGGTATCAATTACAGCTTCATGTTTATACATTTCAAAAAGAACATAAAGTCATTTGAATATACAAACAAAAACAGACTTAAAAATTGAATCTAATGATTAGGAGCTAGAACGATTTATCATCCAGAATTATCATAAACATGCAAATATAGCCCTTCTACTTCTGTTGTACCAGCACGTGAAAAATAATCTTCATACTATGGTAAAACTGTGAGCAGAAAAACAAACAAAAAATTCAACACAGAATCACTTTGTTTTATAAAGACACTGTTTTTGTGATGGCTGTCAGTATCTTCAGCAGCTCAAAAGCCCAAGAGATTGTATTTCATTCCATGAAATGAAATAATGCAATACTGTACTTAGCCGTAAGCAGAAGTTATTCTTTTGTTCCAACCATCTTCCTGTTTAAATTGTTGAGGTTATTTAATAGCCAATTTGCTTTGTTTCAGTAATTAATACTATGCATGAGATTGGTGATCAAACCAAAAAAACACGCTGAGCAACATTTCTCCTATCCATTAAAGACCTTATTCAGCATGCTGAAGAGTGGCTGCCTCATTTTAATGAAACACCGTCAGTCATCGTTTACCACATATGACTGCAATACTAACTTAGGAATAAAACAGGGTCTGCTAAGTGCAGAACTGTATCCTTATTTAAGCCTTCATACACAGTAACTATCAAAAGATGATGGTAAGTGTATGTCAGGAATGCTGCAAAAGCCCACTGATATCTGTATTACACGATCAATTTTAATTTATAGTTCTGCAGTGCTCTAAAGAAAACTGATAATGGAAAAGGGCCTGCAGTCATATGGAACACACCAAGGTAACAGTTGATCTATGGAGCAGAATACATTAAAGGAAAGATATTACGTTCATTATGACCAAAGAGCAGGAAATGAGTTTAATTCCAAAACAGTAATTTGCATTTCCCACTCCTGGACAGACTGCCTAAGGAACGATCCTCATTAATAAAGGAGATAAAGGAGTTGAGATTGTGACACACTTTAAAATAAATGTTAGTACCCGGGATTCCAGGGAGAACAAGATTGGGGTCTGGGTGTTTGTTTATTTATCTTTGTTTTTACTTGGACCTGTCTAAAAATATGTCATAAGAAAAGCTGGTCTGTCTTTAAAAATCAGAAATCATTAAGCAAATAACAGAAGAACATTTGGAATTTGTCTAAGTTCAAAGTTTGTATAAAACTACTAAAAGCAAGGGAATACCTTCTCATTATGGGATGTATATTTTAAAAAGATGACTGCTTTTCCACCCAGTAACCTATGAAAAAGAAATTATGGTTTAAGTTGCACTTTATTTCAGATGCACAATTATGTCCACATTTTTCAATTGCTACAAAGTTTCTATGGCCAGGTATGAAGGATGATGGGAATTTAAAACTACAAGTGTAATTAATAGAAAGTTCTATGGACAATGCATGTCATTGCAATGTAGAGATTAGAACACTATCTAAAGAGCTCTGGCAACCTGCTCACAGAAACTGCAAGAGGGACAGCTCCTCCTGCTTCATACTACCATGACCACACTTCTAGTATGGAAACAAGCTAATGGAAATGCATGTGATTTGTCTCCATGTTGTGGCCTACACATCCTTTCCTTTACACCATATTGTTTGGCTAAATATATTTTTTAAATTATGATTTAAAAGCATATATCCTTTTATTATGAGATTTCAATTTCTATCCTTGGAGCAACCTACAAACATTGCTATATTCCTATATCATACCTGAAATTTTAACTTTTTCTGTGAGTACTGAATTTATGCTCTTTTGTCTGTATGTAATACGGAAAATTTGCCTGGTTACAGGTACGTTTACCAATCTTTTGGTTGTGCTTTTTAAAACATTATTATTTAAAAGCAAACCATTCTGCAGAATTTCACTACCTGACATTATTCAATTCAAGCCCTTCGTTATGTCTGTCTATGAGAAATCTTAAATTTCTAATCTGTCTCTTACTGGTCAAGCAAACAAACGAGAAACAAACTTGATGGCACTTTATTTTCCACAGACCTGTAGTTGCTTCTCTAAGATTTCAGAAGCAGAGCTCATGACAATCCTCCCACATCTGTTTCATCAGCTGATTGAAATGTAGATCTCCTACAAGGTAAAACATTTTTGGATGATGGGCGTTACTCAAACCAACTCCTTAGTAAGGGAACAACTTTATGCAAGATCAGCAAGTTGGCAGCATAAACATGAAACAGTTCTTTTAAGCACGACTTGATATTTTGTTTTTGAGAATTTTAATTTAATGACTTCTATTACACGTTCAAGCATAAATGTTTTTGTTACATTTAAAATTTTTTTGCAGTACAGACTTAATCTAGATGAAGAAAGATTTCAAAGATTTCAGATAGGAACCTTGTATAGAGTGACAAATATTTGGTTTTCTGATTGTGCTGTGTGTACTGGAATGCAATGAAGGGTGACTTTTTTTTTTTTAAATTTCATTTCATTCTTAAAAAAAAAAAAACAAACCAAGATTATTTTGCTGGTAGAGATTGAATGTGCCATTACATCTAGCTTTATAACTACTTCTAATTACATTTCAAACTGGAGAAGTAAAAATAAAACATTTGAGTAAAATGTATATTTTAATTTCTCAATTTGAAAGGTTATATTTCTAAGTCAGAACTGTTGAGAATTCTTGAGGAAGGCATTTTCATTTTGACCCAATTCCACTAACTGCTGTTCTCAGACTTGTTTCGCTCATGCCGACTGTAAACACAGCAGCTGGCCAATCGATTTTGCCCTTCTACTCAACCACAAAACAATAATTAATTGTGCTAAATTACAGCTAAGCCTATGCCATGCTAGTAAAAACAGTCAAAACAGTCACTCTCTGTCCCAAGCAAATATTCTTTACCTAGTGTTAGAAATAGGCTCTGGGAAGCAAAAACATTAATCCTGCAACTCTTTTTACTTCAGTATCTCACTCTTAATTATACACAGTGTAACTCTGAAAATGGAAGTTGAAAGTGAATGATCAATGACTGGTGCATGAGAAAAATGAACAGAGCATTCCTGATGGAACAGCAGGAATTCTGCCATCCATTTCTATTAGAATTGAAAACAAGTGTGCAAGCCAATTCTCTGAAAAGATTACTAGCTTTAGAATCTGAAACATCACACTGATCTGCCAAATTATTTAGCTTTAACATTTCAGGAATCAGGTATGCACACAGCAGGGTAACATACAACTCACCATTCGGGTAAGTATTGTAATTCTGACCAAGCAAATATTTTCTAATCTTAAGTCTCTCACTATGATTACTCTTTTCACAACTTCTGTAAATTTTGTTCCAGATCAGAGGTTCAAAATTATCATGCAAAATAATATTTTGGTTCTACAGGTGCAGGCTTTCCCATATGCCTTCTCTAGACATCCACATTCATTCAGGCTGTAGATGATGTTCTCAAATAACTTACTGTGATACGGAGATTTATTCTTTCCCTGTGAATAATGTGATACTTTGCACCTTCCTCCAAGTGAGGTGTTTTCATACTTATCCCATATAGGATGAGAGAATGAGAGCAAAGTTCATTGAACAGTGAGAGACTAAAGAACCTCAGCTTTCACTAACTCTCCTGGTTCTCCACTTAAAGAAGCTTAACAGTCATCCTGTCATCCCAAGGTGATGGTTACTCTGTGCAAGCAGCACTCTAAAGAGGTACCCTGCTGTGGAACACTGATGATTTACATAGGTATGTAAGTTTACATGTGCACAGTAACAGAAATACATGCTGTTATTTACATCTACATTAGCTGTGGTTTTCATGGTTACATCAGAGTCTACACTTTTCAGCAAAATATTTTTCTATCACATCTAAGTATTACTAGATTCTCTTTTCTACATTAATCTATTCACATGCAGGTAGTACTTGAGCTTTCCTGCTCTACCTTCTATTGTTCGGCTCAAAAGTAAGTTGTTCTTTTGCAACTATTTTCATTTGTGCAGAGATGTCCTTACCTGAGAAGCTACTGAAGGTAATCAATTTGAGAAACTTTTACTTCTTTTATAAGAGAGACATTGGTCATCCATGCTTATTTACATTACCTGAGAAACAAGACGTTTTATTTTAAGATAATCATATTGGGAAAGTTTTCTCAAATGAAAATAGAAAGATAAATAAATAAGTTGTGGCAAGTATATTTGAGTTCTTTGTCTGAGTGTGTGGTCTGTGTCATACCTTCATTGATTTATCAGCTATTCTTTTCAGCCATTAAAGGTACTGGTAAAATTCCCACCTCAAGAAGTCATAACCATTTTAATTAAATTAGAAAAGATGTCTCTCCCATTCCCAGCATCCCAACCACTCTGTCAGGAAGATAATCCACAAAGTAGAATGAAACCATGTCACAGCAAAGAACATGGCTAAACTCAGCTCAGTGTAGTAGAAAGAGATGTGATTGCAGATAGTTAGAATGAAGTACACAAAATACTAATTCTGTGGTCAGTGCAATTTAAACTATCACCTCCAGAGCTCTTAACTTAATAACTGCCTTATTATCTCTTAATTGCGAGTTGGCTGATAATGCAGCTGATCAATTATAGGAGGTAATCATCATCAGCCTTTCATAAATGACCCATCAGTTACCCATCTATCCACCTATCACACTTTCTCAGAGACACGGCTGATCTGTATGCATCCCGTCTGCAGTTTTATGAATCAAGAAGAGTACTGGAAAATCACCAACTATCAATAATAAGTTTTTATAATGACAGGAGCAGAAGAAATAGAATGTCCTTTAGGCAGGAGCGACTAGTTTAAACCAGTTCTGCAGGAAGCTTCAAGAGTGCTCATGTGTGACTAGAAAAGAATAGGATATAAGGCACGTAATGAATAATGGCGTACAATCAGCTTCTATACACCCACAAGGTATCTAAATTTATAAAATATACACACCATTGGATAAAATTTAAACGTATTTCCCATTATTGAAGTATAGTAGCCAATCTGCTGCAACACAGGACCATATTGAGAATGAGTAGACCATTCTGTTCGTTAGAAACTTACCAGAATGTGCTGGTATTTATATCTCATAAAAGCTGTTCAGTAAACACAGTACAAAGACCTCTGATATCACGGAATGCATAAACACATGCAGAGACTTTCATTCCAAGATTTCGGACAGGAGGGAGCTATCTCTGTCAAATGAGTTTAACTACCCTTCCCCTGGCTCTGTGAGATTAACGTCTTTCCACTTAGAAAAGGTATCCTGGCTTAGCAGATAACAATTTCAGAGATCCAGATGACAAAGTCAGAATTTCCCTATGGCATATACTTTTAAGGGGAAATGAAGGAGAGCTTCCTAAAAACAACACTTGATTTCTGCATGTGGCTTTGTTTTCCCCATCTCTCTACTAATTAGATTTTTCAGGGGCAGGATTTTGTGGAGGCCAAACTGGTCCCTGTTCCTATTACATTTCTGTGCAAAGTTATGCATGGCTGCAGTTTTTCTTTATTTTGCCTTTTTCATGACAGTTCAAACATGCAACAATGACATTTATAATTTAGTTCATTTTTTAAAGATCCTTTGTTAGTCTTACAATAAAAGTTAAAGATGACTATGAAGCACCATGATTATCTTTGTTCTATACAACTGCAAAACCTGCTTCTCCAGGCCACACAAACTGAAGAGGTATTAAATCAATAAACTTCACAGAAAAAAAAAAAAGTATATCAGGGTCATAGTTTCTGCATTGATGGGAAAAGGAAAACTAAGCATCTGCTGAGGCTAAAGAGTATTGAGGCACACTTTTTTCTTTCTCATAGACAAGAGGAGGAAGGAATCTTAAGAGGTCATTTCTCTTGTGCCAAAGCAGGATCAGCTATAACTAAAAGCTCCTTAAGGTTTGTCAATCTCTTTCTAGTAACAACATTACCGCTGTAGAAAACTGATTCCAGTGTTGAACTGTGTTCATCAGAATTCTCTTCGATTTTACTGTAAGTTTTCCCTGCTGCCACTTAAAGCCATTATTTATAGAGTCATTTGTAGTGGATAGAGAAAAGTGCTTATTCCTTTTCCTTTTACAGGTTCAAGAATGTAAGACCACTTATAGAGGAGTAACTCTATTAGAAGTATCTGCTTAAAAAAAAAAAATCAAAACAAAACAAAGACCCCCTAGAAATACCTGAAAGAGCAACAAAGAGAGTAACACAACAAACTTGGTAAGTGATCAACCTTTGTGCAAACCAGACACACTTGTTTAGAATTAGTCAGGAGTTGCAAAACCCGAGGAAATCCAGAAATCTCTATTCTTAGTCTGGAAGCTGTTTGGGTTTGCTGAAGAGGGTACGAATCACTCTCTTGACAGACAGCATGTTACAGAGCTGACTGCACTGGGAGAGGTCACCTGCTTACCTTCCTTCCAGGAAGTCTACAATGGACTGCTAAACCAGGAACTAGAGTCTGTGGTTATTTAAATAAAACAAAGCAAAACAAAAAAACACACCACAAAACAGTCAGAGCCCCCATCACAAAATTAAACCAGAAGGGTTTATTCCTACTAGCTGTCTTCAGAAAGGAATAGAGGATGATATTTAATTTCAAGTTTAAGAATCAATAATTAATATACAAGAGAAAGGCCAGCACAGTGCCAGAATTCCTGAAGAAAAACAATAAAATGCAAAGTTGAAAAATAACTTTTTTCCTTTCTAAAAAAGAAAAATAAATCTGTTATATGTTTGGATCATCATTATCTCACTGAAATTCTGTATTGCAATTTATGAAAGTTACCTAGTTTGGGGATACAATATGATCAAAATCTGAATAATGAATCATGAATTTGAAAAGGTTTCGTCACTACCAATTGGGCTAAAGACTGAGCAAAATACAGCTCAGAAGGAAAGTAACTGAGCTAACAAAGAGTTACCTTATAGGAATCCATACAGAAAATATAGAAAAAATGCAAAATAAAACAATTTGACACATAATAGAACTTGCTAGTAAAATATTTGTATATAATTTTATAATTCACATGCTTATAGTTCTGATAATGCTGGAAGAATAGAAGAGAGTGTGCTGTGTATTTGCACTGCTGACTAGAGCAGAACTAAGTATTTCAGAACTGTCTTAGCACAAAGTTTTGTTAAAGCTAAGTGACGAGGTGATTTTACAGTGTCTCAGATTCAAGCAGTTTTGATTTGTAATCTTGGAATTGTTTTTGAATGGATGTCAATACACAGGAATCTTGTGCAAGCATTTTACAGTGAGAATTATGGTTATACAGCAGGAAGAAGGTGCTTTGTAGGGTGGAGTTAAACTTCAAAGACAGTGAAATAAAGAACAGTCATCGCTACACCTAACAGCTGTCCTTCTACTGCAATTAAACACAACATTCATTTCCAAGTGTTATGACATTTAATCAGCTGTATAAAAATAATAATAGTAATAAGAATGATAAGCATCATCACCAAAGTTGTTATGAGAGCAAACGGAGATCACATGTCCAGCATTTCTAAAAGTTGTTACAAGCAAAGTCTTTCACTTTGTCTTGTCCAAAATATTTTTTTGGAACGTATCCAGATAAGTTTCTTTCTTCAAAGGGAAAATTTGCAACAAATTCCACAGGTCTTATTCATTAAACAAAACAACTATACTCTATCACTGTACTGAATCTATGTATCCACATAAAGACCTGACTTTTTTTCTGGATTAGAAGCACACTTCCTTTCTTCTGCAGTGAAGTAATTCTAAACAAAATCTCTTCTAATAAATGGGTGTTTTAAACTTTATACCCCAGACTGAGTAAAACACTAAAACTATAAAAAGATGTCAGGAATGTGAAGTAATAAATTTGATCAATTTTCCCATAATCCATGTTCTAGAAAAGAGAAGAAAAAAAAGATGCTAGTCCTGAAATATTTGGGGTAGAAAAGAAGACTGACCTCACAGTTCCTATGGCAGGTTTTGTATCCGCTTTTAAGTGGCTTTTTATGGGCAATCAAGCACTGGCACCATACTGGAGCCTTTCAAGCTTTTCTTGAGCTGCATGGCTTACAGAAAAGGTTAGTCCACTGGAGCTACACTAAAACTACAGCCACAAGTGACAAGTGCTGTTTTGGTTATGACAAAGCTGACAGAATGATACATTCTCATCCTTGTACATTTTCAGTTCCCTATAGCATATCTCAACTAGGTAATTGATATGGATTTTGTTTGTTGCAAGGTTTTGTGTGTTTGTTTTTCAGAGAGCCACTGTGAACAAACTCAAAACCCATCAGTGATCCCCTCATCACTGCTCAGGGAATCCTCTTCTGACTATTCTTGGAAAAATATCTGTTGCGTTTTCCAGCCAGATTTCACAAGTGGATAAAGATAGCAATAGAGGGGAATCTTTAGAAGAAACCACCATATATCTTCTGTTTCTGAACACAGAGATGCAACAGAAGCTCACGTCTTAATTTCAAGAACCAACTTGCAGTAGAGAAAATTCATTCTTAGAATAAAAAACAAAGAACGTTGTCACAGAGCTGCAAGCACCACTGGTCCACGTAACCAACCAGCTGTGCTTCTGCATATTCTACATACTTGTCCATCACTCCCTTTGATATACTTGAATCACCAACTAGATCTGCAGCTGGCAATTATCAGCTCCGCCCTAACAGTTCCTATTCCTCACCTTTCTCAAAACAAAACAAAACATTTTTCAATTTATTTTGCAGAACAGCTGATTGATCTCCCTTTCATACATTCCTGCCAGTTAGACAGTGACAGTAAGGAATTTTCTACTGAGCTGGGTCTTATCTTCAGAGCACTAATTTGGCAAAGCAGTTATCTCTAACCCCTTCCTAACAAAATCTAATTAATTTTTTTTCTTGTATTATTATCTTCGTAACAGCCAAATGATAGTCCTGACAGCATGAGCATTTTCACTGGATGTTATACACTCTTTCCCACACTTTGCAGTGACATTGTATTTGTTATTTAGAACAAACCCAGACTGTTCCTGGAACTGAGCCTATAGAAACTACTGCAGTAATGTGTTTATATGATATATAATTACAGGCATGCTGTAACCTGTCCATAGCCACTGCAGAACAAGTTACATTATCAAA